ATGTTTGAAAGTTGAGCTTCCACTTAAGAAAATGAAATCAATCCAGTCCTCCACCACTGCAGCCTCATCATGTATTGTTAAAAGCCTACTCAGATTATACAGTTTCATGGAATCATAGAATATCAGGGTTGGAAGGGACCTCAGGAAGTCATCTAGTCCAACCCCCTGCTCAAAGCAGGACCAATCCCCAGACATATTTTTGCCCCAAATTGCCCCCTCAAGGATTGAACTCACAACCCTGGGTTTAGCAGGCCAATGCTCAAACCACTGAGTTTTCCCTCCCCCCTGGAAGCGCTATATACACAAAGGTGCCACAAGTACTCCTCATTCTTTTTGCTAATACAGACTAACACGGCTACCACTCTGAACCCTATATGGGGTCTCAGAATCATAGAATATCAGGGTTGGAAGGGACCTCAGGAGGTCATCCAGTCCAACCTCCTGTGATACTTCATCATGTGATACTTCTCCTTTCTTACATGCTTGGATGAGCAGCGACATAGTTAACAAAATGTTGACATTTAAAATATCACTGGCATCTCAGTTAGCACCCATTGAAATGAACAAGGCAGTTCGTACCACAGATCTATTGTCTCAGGCTCTCTGCAAATTCAGGCAGATATTAGTGTATTGGCTAAACTTTGGTCACATTTTGAAGGTTTTTGTCATAACTATAGCAGCTAGAGACATACTTAAACAAAGAGAAAGCTGAGACCCTGGAGAACAATGAAGAGATCTATCCATGTCCCCTATCTTCCACCCCTCTGTAAGTCCTTCATCCTTTCCAGGGGGTGGCACATCCCATACATTGGGAAACACCACATCAGGCTGTGGAAGTGGAATATCTCCCAGAGAAAGTAACAGAAGCTCCAACTCTCAGTTCATTTAGTATTAGATGATAGACCAGACTATAAAAGTTACCATAGAGAACAAGCCAACCTTGATACGGGAGTGGACTTCATAATCTAACATGTCTTTGCCATCTTGCTAACTTCTCTTGTATGACAGAATCCCCAGAACAGCAATATGGAATACAGAAAAGTTGAAGTCCACACCCATATCAAGCTTGCGTGCCAATAAGACCCCTTTGTATATTTTAATGCTGGCAATAACATAACACATTTTCTAATCAAGGTTGCCTTGCATGCCAGGTGTTCCATTCTGGAGTGCACTCTGTGGTTTCTTGCACTCTGGTGCCTCCATAAATACTGCAGCTCATAACCGCCACATATGGATCTACACAATAAAAATTAAGACACTTTATGTGAAGCTTTGAAAGCTTTTCCTACGGGGAATTTTATTCCTATTTAGACTGGCAGAACTAGAATTAAAACTAGCAAAGCTCAAGTAGAATGAGAGACAGAGTCAAGTGAAGAGGAGAGGAAAAAACACCGTTTACAACAGAGAGGCCTGTCTGATCTGCTGTCAAGGGGAAAAGGGGAAAAAACGGTTCTGGGCCATTAGGATTCTTCCAGCCACATCTTCTTGGAGATCAAATGGGGATCACAAGTTGTCATTCATTAATGTACAACATAAAGCGAGCAGCACTGCAAACAGAGAAGTGAAAAAGAGGACTAACATGGCCTAAAAATAGATAAAAGAAGCTACTTGATGGCTGTTCCCTGAATGTGATGAGTGTATAACTAGAACTGGGTGAAATGTTGTTCGGTGAAAAATGCAGATTCACCGACACTGAACTGCTTCACAGATTCATGCTACTTGGCTGAATTATTCGAGTTGAAAACAATAGAAATTTAATAATCAACATTTCATTTAGAATTTTTTTGAAACTAAAGGTTTCAATTTTTTGGTTTGAAACAACTTTCTGGTGGCAAATTTTCCTTTAATTGTATTTTTTTTTTTAAATTCAAAAACATTGAAAAATGGATGAAATCAAAATAGGTCATTCAACCCCAAATGAAATTTTTTTTAAGTTCACTTGGCTAGCATTTGTGAAAACTTTCATTTTTGGTCTTACCCAAGACAATTTTTTTGTTTTGCTTATCAAAACAGCCAAAGAACCAAAAAACAAACCCAACAGCTATTTGCATAGCTCTATGTATAACCACCTGTGTACTGCACCTTTAAAATGTTGAGGCATTTCCTGGTTGCTGCAAGTGCAGCTGTAGGGAAGCTGCTATTTCTTGTTTAACATAAGAACATAAGAACGGCCATACTGGGTCAGACCAAAGGTCCATCCAGCCCAGTATCCTGTCTACCGACAGTGGCCAATGCCAGGTGCCCCAGAGGGAGTGAACCTAACAGGCAATGATCAAGTGATCTCTCTCCTGCCATCCATCTCCACCCTCTGACAAACAGAGGCTAGGGACACCATTCCTTACCCATCCTGGCTAATAGCCATTAATGGACTTAACCTCCATGAATTTATCCAGTTCTCTTTTAAACCCTGTTATAGTCCTAGCCTTCACAACCTCCTCAGGCAAGGAGTTCCACAGGTTGACACTGTGCTGTGTGAAGAAGAATTTCCTTTTATTTGTTTTAAACCTGCTGCCCATTAATTTCATTTGGTGGCCCCTAGTTCTTATATTATGGGAACAAGTAAATAACTTTTCCTTATTCACTTTCTCCACACCACTCATGATTTTATATACCTCTATCATATCCCCCCTTAGTCTCCTCTTTTCTAAGCTGAAAAGTCCTAGCCTCTTTAATCTCTCCTCATATGGGACCCGTTCCAAAACCCTAATCATTTTAGTTGCCCTTCTCTGAACCTTTTCTAATGCCAGTTTCATTTCACAGGCACAGCATTGCAGAGTAAACCATTCTCTCCAGTGAGACTTTATATTCGTTCTTTCTTTCTTTGTTGTTTTCCTTAAACTGAAATAAGAATAACCTGGATTAAGAAGCATATGGTAAATTGGAAACGGTGTTAAAATCACTGTAAGTTAGAAGGGCATTCCTAGTCCCGTTTGCATGCTAGTGGAGGAAGCAGAGAAGTGTGCAATCTAAGGGCATATCATCACTAGAAATGCTACAGCAACACAGCTGCAGCTACTGCTGCAGTGCTGTATTGTAAACACTACAGCAATGGAAGGGGTTTTTCTGTCACAGCAGGAAATCTGCACCTCTCTGAGAGGTGGTACCTAGGTCACGGAAGAATTCTTCCATCAACCTAGTGATGTCTATGCCGGAGTTTAGGTTGGCTTAATTACATCACACGGGGCATGACATTTTTCACAGCCCTAAGCGATGTAGTTAAGCTCTCCTAACTTTGTAGTGTAGACTAGCCTTAGGTCTTGAGCATCACTCTGGAGCGGGGTGAGTTGAGATGTGCCTCTCTGCTGTAGGGGGCAGTCTGCTCTCTCTTCCTCTGCAATTGGCTGTTTGTTTGTTTTTTGTTTGTTTTTAAATAAATATTTTATTTTAGCTACAGAAGTGTTAAAATGCCTCAAGAGTGTGGCTCACTTGCTGTAGCAGCTATTTTTGTATTTCTTTCTATCTTAATGGAAGACACAAGTTGGACTACTTCTGAGTGATTAAATTTTCCTGAAGTTGAATCATAAAAGTCCTGCAGTCTTCCAGGCATTTTTTCCAACTCTTCATACTCAGACGCTTGGAGTATCATCTCACACTGATCCAGCTCTTTTACAAATCTGGCTTCTGCTGTAGACTGATGTTCATATTCTTCCCAGAGTTCATAGATTTCTTTTCTCAGGTCTCCTGATAGCAGCTGGGTCAAATGTTTCAGAGCTGCCTCCTCTCACCGATGTTTCTCCTCTTTGGAGATGTTATCTGCAGGTGCTATATCTCCAACAATGCATTCAGCCATATCATGAACCAGAGCTAGTCGTACCCATCTGTCTTTATTAAGTTGTTTATCTTCAGTTACCAAAGCCACGACTGCCATCCCGTACATATGATCCGATATACTCTCTGGTTTCTCTACATTCCTGTACACCCAGCCTGTTCATGGTAGTCTCTTGAGTTGCCCCACCAGCCTCAGAAACTGCAGCAGGCTCCCGGCGGCGCCACCCAGCGGGCCCACAGCCATGGGGCTGCCGGCGGAGCGGGCCGAGAAAGAAGCAGCGGGGCATGCTAGATTTCTGGGTTCCAAGAAATAAAGTAGTGTTATGTTTGTTTTGTTTCTAACTCTCTGTGTGCGTTTGCTGGGACTATAAAGTGCGTGTCTTGCTCTTAAAATTTTGGAAAAAACAACACTCCAGGAGAATATAATTAATTAATATTGGTCAATAACTTGGCAGCACCTACAGGCCTCAGTCATGATCAGGCCCCCACAGTACTGGCTCCTGTACAAACAGAGGAACAGGCCCTGCCCGGAGGAGCTCACAATCTAACAGACTATCATGTTATTAGAAGGACAGTGATGGCTAATGATCCCAAGAAGTCATTCGCTTCCTAAGTGCTGCGTTATTTATTCAGTTTATTTAAAAAACAAAAAACTCAATATTTTCAAAGGCTGAGATTTGTTTATTATTGAAGAGCTACATGTTCTAATATGTCCATTGACACCGACGGAAAATGTGAATGCTGCACACAATCCACAGGGCAGCATTCAAAATCTGAGCACAGTGAATTTATGTTAACAGCCAATTTGGGAGCAAGGAAAGTGTCAGAGAGACAATTGTGATATTCAGCTAGCTGGTTTTCCCTATAGGCAGACAGCATCTGTTTTGCTCAGTCTACTCCTTCCTCCTCCACAGCACCCCCACTTCCAAGACCTGGGATCCCAGCTCCATGCCGTCCCTGTGTCTGTGCTGGTGTCTACTCCCTCCCCATATCCTCTTTCCATACCCATTTCAAGTCTCCATCCCCTCTGCATTTCTCTCCCTACCCCAGCAGTCTCCCACTCTCCTCATCCACTCATGCCTTCCACTCCCAACACGCTTCTGGCTCAGCCCTGCTGCTAAAACACCACAACCTGGAGCTTGCAGCATGTTAGTTCACGGGCTAGATTCTGAGTTGGTGTCCACTGACTTCAGAATGATTCCTTACCCTAGAAAGGGAAGCAAAAGCTCGCTACAGGCCCAAGAAGATTAGAGCTCTCCATTGCCACAAAGCCTACAAACCACTTGACAAAGGTGAGGCAGGTGGTGTGCGGAGACCACAGCCTGTTCTGATGACCAATAGTGTCTCATTGTTTCCTTGTATTCCCCCATCTGTCAGTATCCATCTGTTGTCCCTTTTCTTGTCTTTGATTGCAAGCTCTTTTGTGAAGATGCTGGTTTTTCTGTTCTGTGTTTGTACAGCGCTTAGCACAATGGGGTCCTTGGCCATGACTAGGGCTAGAGTAATAAAAAATACAGAATATTTTACATGTATAGATTCCCTTTCATCCAAAGATGTCAAAGCACTGTAAAAATGTTATAAAACCAAGTAGGACCCTCCAAAGAGAAATGATATGGAGAGTGTTAACTTAAAAAAAAAAATCACATTGGTCTGAAAAATATTTATTACAAAGGGTGCGTCTACACTGAAAACAGGATGTGTGATTGCAGCCAGGAGCGGCGCCAGGGTTTTTGCCGCCCCAGGCGGCAGCGCTCCTCCTCTGAGCATTCAGGGGGCCTGGGGTCTTCGGCAGCGGGGGTCCTTCCGCTCCGCGTCTTCAGGGCACTTCGGCGGCGGGTCCCGGAGTGAGTGAAGGACCCGCCACCGAATTTCCGCCAAAGATCCGGAGTGGAAGGACCCCCCTGCTGCCGAATTTCTGCCAAGGGCGGCAAAATGCCGCCCCCCCAAATCCTGCCACCCTAGGCGACTGCCTAGGGTCGCCTAGTGGAAGCGCCGGCCCTGATTGCAGCATATTTAGACATACACAAGCTAGCTGATCTAACTTGATCGAAGCTAGTTCGAGTAACAATAGCAACTGCAGCAGTTTGGGTGTCTTCACTGACTAGCCCTACCCAGACCCTGGCTATATACTTAAGCAGCTGCCGCCCATCCAGCCATGGCTTCACTGCTATTGTTACTCAAGTTAGCTTTGATCTAGATAGATAGATCAAAACTAGCTCGGCTATGTCTACACATGCTGCAACCACACCTCCCTATTCAATGTAAATATACCCTTACTGTTGTTACAGATGTAAGCAGAGTCAGGATGAGCTCTACCCTGACATCTGGTGGTGAATTATGGCGAGTGTGGAAAAGAACTCCAGGGGCGGATCTCGTGTGGAAAAGAACTCCAGGGGCGGATCTCGTTTGCATAGGCACACCCACACGCCTAGCATGAGCCCACAGCAACCAAAAGTGGTTACTTTGGCTGGTGTGGGATCCCCAGTTTCTCTGTTATTGGGGCAGGAAGAATGAAGTTTTGTTACCCTGATTCTGTGAATCAAGGCCAGTGGAACTGTTGTATGACAGAAGGACTGAGTGAATCCGTCACCATTACCTAAGTAGCATTTGCTTGTCAAGGGGCATGGGTTACAAAACCCAGTGAATTGAGAGAGGTTGGGGGCAGGTATTGGTACCTGGTGGTGTGGGGCCCCTGCGTGAGCCTGAAACACCAATTGCACCTCCTCTTCTCTCCACTGTTGAATGTCAGAGCTAACTTTGATTCCCTTAGGAGTCTAGTTACAGGCTGCTGAGCTGAGTTCACTTTGGGCCACTAGTGCACCAGCACTGGGGCTCCCCTACTATGAGCTGAAATCACTATGAGCTGAAATCACAAAAGAGCTAAAGTTACTAAGAGCTGAGATCACTGAGGCTGTGTTAACTAGTGGGGGAGCCTGAATTGCTAAGCGGCTGGCGGAGCAGTTTGCGGGGACGGCTGGAGGAGCAGCTAGCCGAGTGGAGCCTCGCGGGGACGGTTGGAGCAGAGCAGAGCGGAGCTGAGCGGCTCACAGGTCGGTGAGCGGAGCGGAGCAGCTGGAGGAGCAGCTGGCAGAGCGGAGCCTTGCGGGGACGGTCGGAGCGGAGTGGAGCCGGGCGGCTCACAGGTCGGTGAGCGGAGCAGAGCAGAGCAGTTCGTGGGACGGCAGGAGCGGCTCACGGGACAGCAGGTGGAGTGGAGCGGCTCGTGGTGAAGGCTGCGGCGGAACCCCACGGAGAGGCGGCCGGTTGGTCTCGGATCACGTAAGGTGCCCCTTAACACCCTGCGCCCCTCCCCCCTGAACTCTGGGGCTGCACTGACCAGGGACAGAGACTTTGGGGGGTTGTTGGACTTTTGGGACTTTGGTGATTCTTGGGTTGCTGGACCCGAGAGACTTTGGGGTTGTTGGACTTTTGGGACTTTGGTTGCGGGTTTCAAGAACCAACGGGAAAGGACACGGCCCAATTTGCTGGGGTGGGTCTTCGCTCATGGTTTGGTCTATGACCTCTAGTTGTGGTGTTTTCCCAATTTAATGCTATGTCGTTTACCTCTTGTTATTAAACATTTTTCTGCTACACCGAGGCTCTGTGCTTGCGAGAGGGGAAGTATTGCCTCTTCGAGGCGCCCAGGGGTGTGTGTAAGATTTTCCCAGGTCACTGGGTGGGGGCTCGAGCTGGTTCTGTGTCACGCTGTTGGGAAGGGACCCCTATGTACTGAACCCGGCCCTTGCTGCTATCACTTGGCCTGGCAGAAGAGTTACACATGTAACATCCAGCATGACTGTAACAGAGAGATTAAAAAACCCCAATTTTCTCTGTTTACTTTGTATATTTGACAGCAGTAGTAGCTAGTCAGTTCCACAGTTTCCCATGTACTGCCATTAGGGTTGGCCAGAAAACAAGATTTCCGTTTCACGAAAAATTTCAACGTTTCGGAATTTGTTTTTATTCCTTATCAGGACAAAACTGAGACCTTTCAAAAAATGTTGCAAAAAATAGAGGTGATCTTTTCATGCAGCAACAGGGAAGAGAAAAAACATCTAAAAGAAACATAGTGAAATGTGATTTTAAAACTAAAAAATTAGAAGGAGGACTCGAGTACAGGCTATCCCTGAAACTTTTAATTCTTTATTTTAAAATTGACATTTCAAGCTGAGGGAGGTGTCTTTTTAAAGCAAAACAGATCAGTCATTAATTTGGTTAAAAAAAAACAATAGGTGGGTTTTATTTTCAGGAAGAATGAAAATAGAGATGTTTCCAGTACCTCTCGCAGTTTTATCTGAAGGCTCATGATATTTGATTACTAAGGCCCAAGTTCCAGTTATGAAACTACCAAAGAATCTCCGCTGTCAATGAAATAAATACATAAATGAAACAAACCAAAACAACAAAATAAAAAATATATGCTTCTTTATAGCTCTGGAGACAAGCGTGAAAATGTGACTTGAGTGGAATGTAAAGGCTGGAAAACCAGAAGGCAAAGAGAAAAAGAAAAAGCACCCAAATTTTAGTCTTTATAAAAGTCTCATGATTTCTAATCCAATCTCGTTATTTTTGGCATTTCACTCATGATCGTTAAACACTTGGAACTGGCAATACCGAGAGCTGCAAGTTCAAATCTGGATGCTTAGAGCTATTCAAGGATGCTCAGCTCGATCTGGGCTTTTGATTTAGCCCATTATTAATAAGGGACTAAATTGGGATCTCATTTACACCACTGCAATTCTGCAGTAAATCTATTGAAGTCAGTGAAGTTACTGTACAGTTACCCCAGGGTGACAAACCAGAATGTGACTCAGGGTCAGGTCACAACATTCAGAGCTGTTCAGATCAAGGATTTTGGTTCAGGCCAATCTCGATAATGAAGAAAGAGAGAGAGAGAGGCCTCGTCTATTCTGGTAGGAGTGTGTAGGGCCTATGTAGCTACATGCCGCAGGCTGCATTCACTCAGTGGTGTGTGGCTACATGTGGCAGTGAAAGGCTTTAGTTGGGGAGGCAATAGGGAAAGGATCTGGCAGCTTTCGGCTGGAGAGCTGCCAGAACCTGTCCCCACTGCCAGTCTTTTGCTGTGATGGGGAAAGGCTCCAGCAATGGGGAGGCAGCAGAACACTACATGGCTAAAAATAGAAAGGTAGACATGGGAAACATGACTTGGGCTTGTAGAGAACTGTATAGGTTCTGGCGTATCTTTACTCTACTTGCCTAGGTAGTGCCACGCCCTCTACTCTA